TAAAGCACAGCAAATCTGTTTTCCTATTGTCATAGATGCTGCCTTATCATGGCTACCTGTTCCTGGGATTGAGTGAATCTTTGCTTAGTGTTTACTGCAATGTAACTGAAAGGAAAGGAAAATGAGTGGACCAACAAGGGGGCAATGGAGTGAACAGGTGGTGGAAGGAAGTAATTGCTGACTGAGAGTAGAAAGACTAGCAGTGTTTTCCTGTCCCCATCTTTTCCTTTAAACTGGCCAGCAGTTCTTCCATGTTCCTCTTCTTTGCCCATCTGGAGCTTGGCTTGGATGACAGCTTGACAACTGTGGCACTCTGCAGCTCTGGATGGGCTGAACCCCTCCTATCTCTATTTTCATCACCATCAAGTGACTCCACCATCACTCTTCTGCTGGTCAGCCAGTTGACTAAAGTTGACCTAAAACCTTTCCTCCATTTTGAGGCTGGCTGAAATCAAGAGGTTCATGCTACTAACTTCAAAATAGTGTTGCAGAGATTGGGGAATAGAGTGTGTCTTGTATGGTATTAAACTCAGGTTATATGTAGTGGTGGTAGCACAGCTGTACCTTTAAAGCACACTTCTGATTTAAAACATGGGACCCAATTTTAAGAGCAAAAGTGGCACATGGGGGAGAGGAATGGTTTGCTACAATATCTATCCACAAAACTTTCCATTGCAGGATTCCATTACTGCAGTATTTTTCAAACTTGGCAACTTTAAGATGTGTGGACTTCAACTCCTAAAATTCTACAACTTCTAGCATGCTGGCTGGGGAATTCTGGGAGTTTAAGTCTACACATATTAAAGTTGCCAAGCATTATTGGAAGTGCCCAATGGGAAATGACCATCAGCTTTGGAAGAGGGAGGATTCAGTTTCTTGTCTCTGAATGCAGACTTTTGTTCTTAAAATTTCCCTCCTGCTCTATATATGATGAGGATAGACTGGAATTCAAGCAAAACTATCATGCTGACTTTTAGGTAAATGAGGAAGATTAGCGTCTTCCTCCATAAGAATTTGCTATTCCATATCACCATGACCATAGATTTTCTGTGCTAATTCCAGAAATGCAAAAGAGCAGTCTTGCATTAGGGAAATAAAGGCATATCTCTGTTTTCTCTCCACTACCAAATTGATGAGTATCTGAGACAAACATTAATGTGAGATCAGAGCAAAGAAATGACTTTTAGCCTTAGTTTGATACTAAGTCTTCTTCACTGGTTCCTAAGTACAGCAAGAGTTAGGCTATCCATTTTGCATATTTGCCCTTAAGGCAAGCAGGCCAGCAAGCATAACAGGCAGCTGCTCACACCAGCAATGGCAGGTGGATTGCTCTTGCCAGCCACCCAGCCTGCCTGCTTGCCTGGGACATGGTTTCACCCATTGACTTTGCTTGTCAGAAGCCGCAGGAAGTTGCAAGTCGCAGTCATGTGATGACATGCTTAATGGCTGCACACGATTCTCTTGACAACTGCAACAGGAACTGTCATCATCAATTGGTGCAGTCATGTGATTTTTTCGCTTTACAACCACATCACTTAGTGATGGAGTTGCCAGTTCCAATTACAGTCATTAACTGAGGACTACTGTAAAATTATTTTAATTTAAAATAAATATTAATATATTATATTATATATAATATATTAATAATATATATTATTATATTATTATAAAATATATGCCAACATTTCATTTCAGTGTTTACTATAACAGTCTCAAGAAATACCTCTGCAAAGAAGTTGCTATCTGCAATTGTGAATTAGTTCTCAATTGATTGCAACTTTCTTGGTGGAAGAAAAGAGACAGGAATGAGAATTTATGCCTCTTCTGATACAAGCCATTACTGAAGTTAAATTACATTCCATGCCTCCTTAAACTTTGGATATAATTGGCTAAAGCAGGAGTTTTCCCACTCAAACCATTTAATGGGGCTTATATTTTACACTTCAAATAAACACAGGGATAACAATCTTGACAGAACAATGAGGTATCTGCATACTCCCTCTTTAAAAATTAGTTCTTTAAAGTACCTAGGCTTTTACAGCCTGTATTATATACATGCCAAGTGTTTGAAATGTTATTTTTGCTACTGCTAAAAGCATTTAACTCTGGCAGGATCATATGCAACATCCCTTACATGTTTTTCATTCTTCTGAGAAGAAGCGAATGGCAATTTTGCAACTATCCAGGATCATCCAGTGGACAGAAATCAAGTAGGACCCTATAAACAAACTACTAAAATCAAGCAGCCACTGTAGGGATCAGACAGGTTTTGTTAAAAGCTGATAAATTCTAGCTATGATTCATTGATAAACTAGAATAACCTTTTTCTTTTAGGATATATCAGTTTGATAAAGATGGGTTTCTTACAGTCTTTGGAAAAACAAGTTCTTCAGGCTCTTGCTACGTACGGAATTAAATTTGCAGAAGGTAGCCTGTGACAAAAAGGTAGGTAACTCTGAAGGACAAAGTAATGTTATGCAATGAACAGAAAAACTAAGGCTATAAAAGAAGTGCAAGATTAATTCGTAGGAGCTGAACTCTATGAGTCAATGCTGACCCATTATCTCTCTTCTGCAAAACAAGGCAACTCACCGCAGCCCTTGGCAGACAAAATAACAAACAGATTTTTATCCTGTCTTTCTCTCAGAAGATGAAGGCAGCATCCAGAGCATTCCCTCCTCCAAGTTTTCCTACAATCTTCTGGAAGAACCGTGACCAACCTAAAATTACCCAGGGAACTTCCAAGGCTGAAGGTAGACTGGAACTTGGGTCTCCAGAATCATCATCCAGAACCTTAACTACCACACCATGTTGGCTCTTTCTAGAAAGGATGGCCCTCTGCTACCAAAATATTCTTTACCCTTTCTAATGCTTCTGGCTATCTGAAGTCTGAAATGATATGGTTTCTGCAGCTTGCTTTGTGCAAAGATAATCCAAGAAAGAGGGAAAAGGAGGTATGTGAGACTAAACTGCAGGTTGAGAAATGCAAAGGTGCAACATCCAAAATCTGGATTAAACTAGTATCCATATCTGCAAACTAGCAGACCTTTATCCTGAACATGGGAAAATGCATGATGGTTTCATTCTGCCTCTCTTCACCACCACTACTATCTCATGGCCTCTTCAGCACCTCTGTCTTTTGAGGAAGAAATGAGTCTATGACATACTATCCAGCAAAACTCTATTTCATTGGCTGAAAAAAAGAAAAAAATACATGTGCGGAAGCACTTATGCACACATCTGGCACTGAACATTTTTCTTTTTCAAGCACCTTCAGTGGCCTGCATCCATTTACTGCAAAGCAATGTTACTTAAAAGAATACATGATGTTTTGGACACACTTTATAGAAATGAATTATTGTCCTTTGTCCTATTATTATTCCTATTATGGCTTTGTAAACTTGACTGGCAGAATCTCATTTGAATGCCAGTTTCTGGCAGCCTGTCATAGATCTCAAGCATACAATGAAAGCTACCTATTAATATTTCTTTCCCACATCTTCTCCAAAGGCACCTGTCTTCTAAATTATATCCTACAGTGGCTCCTCTTATCTCCCATGCTACTCTGGAAGCAACATCCAAACAGTTGTCAGCCAAGTGGGAAAGGAGCACCACCTTGCAATAAGGGCCAACTCATCTGAGCTGCATGTGGACTCTTGGCTACAGAAGGCAGAATATTCACTGTTGTTGGTAATGAAGCTGTGCAAGGCTCAAGGAATTAATCATGAAGGTAACATTTGAAAGGCGAGGCCATGTCTAGAGCAAGTCTGGATTTCTGTATAGCTGAACAGGAGAGATCAAAAGTTCTCCCACTCCAATTCTGAAATATAGCAACTTTATAATGCAGAAACCAGCTAGGCAGGTCCACTTGTGGGGCTCATCTCCCACCATCACTGCCACCATCACAAGAAGAAACTACCGTCCATATAGTCATAGAATAAAACATGTACAAGAGGAATAATAAGCCATGCATGGGGTAGCAGCTCCCATAATGCCCAATGGGGCTGTATTCTCTGTCTATAGTACACTGGTGTGTACCAATATGTGAAGGAATCTGTACTATACATTAGCAAACTCAAATCTTGAAAGCCATTCTGGGAAAATTTGGTTTTGAAGGCAGTCTGTACATTTTAAAAGACACAAATACTTTTATACAACACAATTCAGTCTTGAAATGTCTAGTTCAGTACCTAATTAAAGCAAAAACAATTTTAAAATGTGCCAACCATTTTGAGGGGTGCTTCTCCTGCAGCATTGCCATGAGCAAAGCACCATTCCTCAAAGTGCATGTCTTCTTCCAAAAGCCAGCACAGCTGCTTTGATGCCCATCCAAGAACATCTGAGCATGCACATGCATACCGAGAAGACATGTCTTTGACTTCTGCCAAAGGGGTGGGGCTTCTGAGGAATACGATCACATCAATGCTGCAAGAAATGTTGCTTTGGTCGTGGGAACAAGAGAGAAGCAGCCCTTTGAACAGTTAGTATTTATGTAAACTTATCTCCATGACACAAATCTCATGGAGAACATCTGCTCATCATCAAGGGGAGTATTCGATTAAACTTCCAAACTGCATGTTATTGGAACATTTCAAATGAAAAGTGGAAGTCATAAGGACTCCAACAACAGAATTATACAGAGAATCTCTGAAAAGAGATATCTGCTTTTTCAGACTGCACCTACATTTCTTGGTGCCCTTTTTTTTTTTTAATGGCAGAAATGCACTTCTATATAATTAAAGAATTATAATTCTAAAGAATTATAAAAAAGAAGGGGCGAAATCTCCAGATAAAACTTGCCCCAGATATAACCATTCTTCTGAGTAAAAGTTAGTCTACAGGATTACATGGGCCCCAGGGAAATGCACAAATGTAAACTGCACTTTAGAACCAACCATTTAAGAGATGCAAACTTGAATATCGAGCAATGTGCTTCTTCTTAAAACAGGACTCTTCTGATTGGATGGTAATTCCAGCCAGACTCATGCAGCAAAGGATACTAAAACTTTGATTGGTTATTTCAAAGTTCCATAAGTTTATCCTCAAGTCATCTGCTGACATGTAGGTTTCATAGTCACTGTTCACAGAGATGGAATTGATATGATAGGTATGTGCATTTGCAAAGACTCTTCTGGGAGTTGCCTCCACCATTAAATCCATGGGCCTTAGCACAGGTACCTAGCAAAGACAAGAAACAAAAGGAGTTAATCAAATACAATTAATACTATTATCAAAGAAGTATATCACACAGTATACCTCCGTGTGTCTGCTTCAGTATGGTGCTACTGTTTCCACTGTTCCCATGTGAGAGTCTTCCTGGAATTGTCATTAAGTTTGATAGATAATCAGTACTGTAAATGGTATAGAATAATTCAGCATTCACAAGTAGTTCCTCTGGTTCTTAAATGCAATAGCAGACAATTTAGTTTCATTAGATAATATATATATATATATATACACCCTCACAGTTCATCAGATTTATGAATACTAATCAATCTTTTTTTCCCCTTATTTAATTGGTGTGTTTTACCTGCCTTTTTTCTGTTTTTTATATTACAACTTATGCTGTTCTATTGTATTTAACTGTTTTCTTGTATTTTTATGTGCAGCATTTGATGGAAAAATGAAATTATTATTTATTTTTATACTATTTTGTTTCCTGAAATAGTCCAAAGGAAGAATATAAATTTGGCAAGCAAACCAACTGTATTATATAACTAGTATATCTGGCCCAGTACTTCAGCTAAGTAAGTAAGAAAGAAAGAAACAGCTCCAGATCCATCATATAAGCAATCAAATTACCTTGGATCAAATATTCCTTCACTATTTGATATTAGATAATATTTCTAAGGAATCTATATGAAAGGTACTATAGATTCCATTCCTTCTCATCCTCATATCATGTAATATCCATATCATCCTTCCAGCACAGGTAATAAAAGAAGTGGGATCATCCAGTCTCCCCAAACAGAAACAAATATTTAGCACACAATTTTCCTTTTTATGCTTATTCAGTATATTCTAATAAGCTACCAGTCAATGAGTAGATATGGTTAACACCAGCAGAAATAAACAGCAGCAGAAATAATGCCTTCAACTATATAACACCATAAGACAACTTAATAGAACAGCTAGTGGTGGCCAGTGCCAAGAAACTATTTCCTCACAGCAACTTCATTACTGAGCATTATTGTCCATATGTTGTCCAGGGAGATTTCCCATGGCTGTGGTGATGGTGACGGGAGTATGACAGCCCAGATCAAGTGACTCTGGGACACAGGAGCTGCCAGCTCCAACTCTGAGCGTAATGTGATGAGCCTGCTTTCTAATTCAGCCTGACATATGCAATGATGCATCATTTGCTGTTGAAGGGCCTGCTGCAGCTATCTAGGGACGTAGGCTAGTATTCTGCCTGAAGACTGTAGGAAGGAAGCAGTCATTCAGACTGTCAGAAACATGATGGTTTTCAAAAGCTCACAGGTTTTGAAATGGTCAGACCAAATTTCCCTGAAAACAAGAAGATAAGAACAGGCTAAACCAAATCAATCAAAGCAAAGCAACGCATCAATGGGTAGGGTAGTCAAATAAGTTTGAGAAGATTGTCCACATCAGTGCTGCATGCCTGAACTAGTTTCAGAGTTTCTTTCTACGCTAGTATCATTGAACAAATGGACATCAGAGGGAAGGGGACAACCAGTCTTCTATGGATTAAAATGCTGCAACTGAAACAAATGAATATTGCAGTGGGAGGAACCATCACATTTTGGAGCCTGTGTGTATACTATATAAATTTGATAAATACATAAATACACAAATAAATAAACTCTGTATATGCATACAGGTTCAGATACACACAGCCTATGTAATATACATTCCTTTTCTTTAGACATACCCTGGTGGTAGGAATGTCATTAGTAAAAGACAACTGATAGCTACTTAATGTGTCTAAACTCTGCAGGTCTTCTGATTAGTCATGACTAAAGTATTTTTTAAATATCAAAAACTATGGCTGGAGACACCTGCCAATTCTGTACCTGTTTGTATGCATTTCTGATTGAATTGCACTGCAAAGTTTGGAATGTGCAAATGCCAAAGAGTAATTAGATCTCTAAAGACCCAGGAGAAGGCAAGGTTTCATTGAAATACAAACAGAATGAGTTTCTCCACGCCATCTCTACCAAGTATTAAACAATTTTGAGTATTTGGGGCATAAATAGGAAAGTTAGATCTATTCAATATTTTTCTTGCTAACTATGAATTATGATCATGGGCATTATCTCCACAAGAAAACAGGCAGACTGTGGAAACTTCACACTTGGTATCTCCCATTTTGGAAGAAAACTGGGATATGAATGAAATGATGGATTTAAAAATATAGCCCTGCAGAGCACATAGGAGGAATCTGTAGCTCTTCAGAGGTTGCTGAGCTGCAACATTCAGTATTCTTCAGCGCTGGTGGTGCTGGCTGGACTGACAGCTTTTCCACAGCTTCTGGAGAGCCAGACATTCCCTGCCTCTGCTGTAGAGAATCCTACCCTAGAACAGTTGTTTCCTACATGTGTCCAGTCAGAAGTCACCCGATGGCTTTGATTTTGTTTCACTACATGTTCGCTATATATTATTTTTAATATGACAAAACAAGCCCAGTATACATAAAAGCACTTCCATATAAATGACACAGTGATCATTACAGGCCTCTCCTATACATGGAACCTGTGCAATTTACTGAAAATTTCCAGTTTCCATCGTGAACAAAGCACTAATCCTCCCTGAGTGGCCACATTAATTTTTGATTATGGTCCAGAGGTTAATGTGGTTCTAAAAGCAAAGGGGACAGCTTTCCTTTTTGCCTCTACCAGAACTTTAGGCAAGCCCAAATTAAACAGGGGAAAAGATAAATCTGATCGCTGCTGTTTTGTTACAATTATTCTGAGATTTGTATCAGTTTTCTTTAGGGGCTCACTTTGTATCTGTCCATCTATTTATCTCCCAGCTGGAACAAAAGCTTATTCAGACATATAAAACCTTGGGTTTTATAAATAAAGATTTGCTTTCAGCACTAAAGCAAATAGTGCTGAAGAAACCTCAAACCATTACACTGAAATGCAACAAGTGGACATGACTGGTCTGATCCTTGATTTGCACTGAGTAATCCGTCAAAAAAATGTCCTTGTGATTTTCTCAGGATTTAATTTTTCTGCTTTCTTTTTCTAGTATACCATGCCATGCCATGCCATGCCATGCCATGCCATGCCATGCCATGCCATGCCATACTTTTTCTTTTCATACCATGATTCTTTGTCATAAATGACATCTTTTGGGATGTGGTGGAGTGGAAACCTTGTATCTTTCTTTGAAAGTCTGTCTCATTCATATTAAAACCAAGAAATTAAAATCTTATCTGAGCATGACAATTTAAAACAGAGCTGGTCAACTTCAGAGCTGCCTCTGGGATCTCCCTGTTCTTGAAATTATTACTTCTTGTGCACTGACAATTTAATTTTGCATCTACAGTATATATATAGTATTGTTAAATGTAAGAGTAGCATATGAGGGGACATACATTTTTGCCAATGCAACAAAAGGTGCAGGCATTGAACTGCAGCCCACCAGATGCCACTAGTTAAGCTCCTATTAAGCTTTTTGACCCATTAAAACCAGCAAAATAAGGCATATGTAGCTGGGAACCTGCTATTTATAATGCCTACAGTATATAGGCAAAAAATGGCTTAGGGGATTCAACAAAAGCTGATTCTGCTTTCCAGTTCCACTCAACTAAATCTTTCTATTGAATTCCAGTAAAACATCACCTGTCTACACAGAATATTTGAGTTGAGAGGCAAAGGGATGTGAATCCATGAACTTCAGATGGTATCCTAATATCCTTCTGAACCATCTGAGGGGATGGGAGGAGGCATCATATAATGGTGGTTATTCTCCTTTCTCTGTGGTTTGGTCCATTTGGTGTTGGCAGAGAGGAGAGATCAAGTCTGGGGTCATGATGTGTGGGTGCCTCAGGATTTAACAATCTCATCCCTCCTATTTAATCACTATATGAAAATATCAGGTGAGGTCATCCATCAATTTGGGGTGAGGTGCCATCAGTATGTTGCTGTACAACTTGACTCCAGGTCGACCAGGTAAAATGATCAAAGTCTTATGTCAGTATCTGGAGGCTGTGGGGGCCTGGATGAGGAGGAGCAGACTCAGGCTCAACCCTGACAAGACCAGGTGGCTCTGGTTATCTGAACCACTTTGGACTGGAGATGTTCAATCTTTAATTCTGAAAGGACTTGTACTCCCCATTTGGGACCAGCGCACAATTTGGGGATCTTCTTGGCTTGCAGCTCCTGTTCAAGGATCAGATGGCAGCTGTGGCCTGGAAGGCATTTCCATAAATTAGCTTTGGGTGCCAATTGTGCCCTTCCTAGACTGGGGGGCCCTTCAGTTGGGTAGCCTTATAATCCAAACACTCATACTTCAGTCACCTTACCTTGCTCAGTCATAGTTTGCTCTACCTTGAAAACATTCAGAATCTGCAGCTGGTTCAGTATGCAATGGCATGGGCAGGCCTTGAGCTAGAGGGGGTGCAGGCCCCTTTGACTCTTTTAGAGTTTGTGTGTGGGGGGGGTGTCTTTCATGAAGCCTGTTGATCCTTTGTTTGTATTTTTGAATTGTTTTAGTACAGTAATATACTCCATCCAAAGTCACAATGGGGTTGGGCAGCCATATACATTTAATACACAAACAAACCTATTTTTGCTTTCTCTATCTTTCCTGCTCCCTTCCTCTTCTCAGAAGGCACAGGCTAAGCTATTATCAGGAGTAACTGACCAGTTAGCCCTGGGCGTAGGTCTTTTGCAGAGAGAGGAGTCATTAAATGTAGGCATGCAATGTTACACTTTCTGTCTTATTGGGCCATTCCTATGAAGTCAAAGAAGATGACTTCCTACTAAAAGACAAATGTGGAGTCTAACTACCAACTTCCCTAGCATTTTTCTTCTGAAACTTACACAGTCAATCTGGAGTTTCTTTCATATGTTGCTGATATCCATCGACAAATTCATCAGGGTAGGGTAAACCAGTCCATCACAGGCATGCCCTATTTAATGATGGCGTAATAATTTGTTTAGTGAATGGTGTCCATCCAACTCTTACCCAACTGATAAGGAAGGAAA